TTTTAATCTCAACAGTTATCATTTAACTTTTGTATTTAGCGTAAATGCAATTCTGTACTCGTTTAATAACTCTTTCATTTGTTAAATTTGCATAGTCTTATTTTATGTCAATTATTTCTTCATTTTTCAGTATGCGTGTGATAAGATGCAAGTAGTCAGGAGAATCTATTTTCATTAGGTAAATTGTCATCATTTGTTGTATATTTTTTGAAATGAAATTCATTTTATTCTTTTTGTTTTGCTCAAAAAGTTCAGTGCAGTGATTTTGACGTAGACGATTTCTGTTCTTCACTTGTGCTTCTCTTCACTACTTATAATTCATAGACAATGCAAAATTGTCTTATATTCAAAGCGATATTCGCCTCCAATAGTAGCATCTATAATTCTGTGTGTATACACGCAAAAATTTTCTTCATTCTATTCATGTATTTGTATTTAAAATAGAAATTTTTTTAATAATAGAATTTTATATAAAAATTTTATACTTTTATCACTTGCTTAGTCGCATAATACAGCGCTATTAACTAATAAAAATGCATTATCCAATACAATTTTATTATGCTTTTCTTGTCTTTCATTCTCAATACATTTGATAAATTGTGTAATATTATTGAAATTTTTATATTAGCAAATTTGGCTATTCAAATATATACATTTCGAGTATAAATTTTAATTCCTATTAAATTATTCAATACTTGTTGTAATAATAGACAGTGTAAAAATATTATTTCAACGCATAAAAAGTTAAAGATTTATGGAAGTCTTATGATATATTAGAGTTATTAAATAAAATAGAAAATAAAGGGACGAATTGTTTGGGAATTAAATGACAAACTTCTTGTTTGCTTTTAATCGTTTATATAAATATTGTTTGCGTTGATTGCTCGTCGCTGAAAATGTATTATTTAGTAATAATTTTATTCAATTTTTCTTTTTTATCAAAAATTATATTAATTTTTTTAGTTTTGTAGGCCTAAAATTATTCGTCCTGCATGCAAGTAAGTAAATTCTTAATATCTATGCATTTAGCGGAAGCAATACATTTCACATGTAAGAATGTGTTGTAGATAAATGAAACAATGTGCTTAACCTTTGAACCTGATGAGTTGTCTGTTAATTAGTTAAGTAAACTTTTTCTATATTAGGATTACAAATATAAATGAAAAAAAATTTGTTCTTTTTTCAAGGTTAAATATACTGTTTGCATCAATGATAATTGTTACATTCAATCTTTTCAGAAATTTTGCATACATTCAACTGTAAATGCTTGTAAACTTGTACTGCTGCATTTTGTTGGTTAATATAAGGAGTGAAGATTCTATCCAATACATACGTGAAAAATTGACATGGAAAGTACAGCTTGAAGAATTTTCATATCAAACATAGCCACTGATTAAAGTTAGTATACTCTTGAGGATATAATAAGAGTAATGGATAAGAAAGAAAATGATAGAGGGCAAAAATTCGACTTGACCCGTATTACATTCTGTCTAAGTCTTTTAATAATATTTTTTAAAAGAGGTTAAATTTTACAATTTTTTCAAATAACTGATAAAATACAAACTAAATTTTGTGACAGAAATTAACGAATGAAAAGTTAGTTTTTTATTGATAACTACAAATAAAAAATTGCTTATCTTTGCAATATGCCAATGGTAAGGTTTGCTGAATTCATTTTTGTCACACAAAATTCATGTGAAAAATATTATTCAAAACATAATAATTTTGTTAGCATTGAGGAGATGAGCAATACTTACTTAATAGCACACATAAAATAAAATTCAATGATATGAGGAACATTGTTTCAATTGTTACAGTATATCAAGCATTCTTTCCTTCTGAAAGTATCCACAAAAAGTTAAGTAAGAAAGACTCTTAGTATTTTAAATATTTGACTATTACTTTGCTTAAAGTATTTTATATCTAAAATAAAGTAAGAAATAGCTCTGACAATGCAAAAGTTAATCCTTTTTCTTTGTATCAATAAATTTATATCCAATTATTACTTCTGTGATTGTAATTATTAGAATAAAATAGTCATAATAAATACTAAGCAATTTCTTTTGATAGAGAAAATATTGCTTATAATTTTTGAATAATACTTTTGACAGTTTTTTTTTACACAATTCTAATCCTTCAGAGCAAGAAAATGAAGTATGGAAATGTGAATAAGTGTAAGTGACAAGTTCAGCGCGTATACAGACTCAAAAGCAAAGCAGTTTATGAAGTTTTAATTTTCGAAAATAAGAAAATGCATATGAAAACCAGAATTAGAATTATCGTGTAGTAGGAAGGCAATTCAAAGAGTGTAATAAATAATGGTACGATAGAGTCCGGGTCATTGACTCGCAATCACACACATGGTTTCAGATGTATGCATATGGATAGATGCAAGATAACACATATAAGAGAAAAGTATTGAGTTAATGGATAGATTATATAGCTATAAATGAGATATACAGATACGAGTATCTGTATCTAAAAAGAAGTATAGCCAGCCTGACACACAGCTCAGTCTTATATTCCTTTTTTCGATTAGCAAAGGAACATAGTCTTTTGCCAACCTTTAACCCCTGATCTTGCCTGCAATCAAGCATCTTAACAGCAACTGAATTTCTTGCTCCTGCTATAATGGTTATTTTTGGTGATAAATTTTAAGTCAATAGATTTTATCTAGAGTAGATATGGGCAATAAAACTATAATGACAAACCTTGCACTACTCGGGGTTTTTTTTCGTATTTTTTGTCCAAATGTAACTTCATCGTTTGTGGTACATAGATGAAATTTTATTTGAAGTTACATCTAGCTAATCTCTTCCACATATTACAGTTCAATTACAAATATAAATCTGGAGTTACGTATAATTTATTCTTCCTAAATCTTGACGGTAGGATCGTCAAGATTTAACAGTTTTCAAAAACCGTCAAGATTTAACAGTCTTTTCGAAAATCGTCAAGATTTGGAGAGAATAAACGTTTTCAGAATCATATTTGGCTCTGAGTAAAAGAAAAGTTTCTAACTTAGACCAGATATTCTCTTTTTGTAGAGGTGGATTTCTCTCTTAACTGCATATTCTCATACGGTAAAGTGAATAAAAATTACATTTTAAAAAATCCTTGCTAGAACACAAAGTTCGTGTCAATGTGAATTGTCATTTTTGAAGTCGCTTGAAGTTAATCCTTCTTAGAAGAGGAATTAAGTACAACTAATCTCAAAAATGACCCCAGAAATAATGACCTCAGAAATGGCGATTTAATGCTTACTGCCGGGAACATCATTTTATGCCTAGTTCACTTTACTTACAACATAGCGGACTGATGCGCTAAAATTACCATTCTTGGATTCATATTTATAAACACTACTCTTTATATGAACAAATAATTACTGTCATTTGCACACAATAGAAAATGACTTCATATTCTTGTAAATATTTATTTGAAATTCGCACGTTACGTCGTAAATAGTTCAATACGATATTCCGTATAAAACCTCCATATATGCGGAATATGAAGTTCAATCCGTCAAGTCTAACTGGTTAGGCATAGGATCAACTTGCTATTACAACTGCTATATTGCGCATCTTCAAATTTTTGTCGTACCGTACATAAATTGAGTATTCGCACGTGACTGCTTGCTGTTAGATGTTGATGTGGGCGTAACTGACTGCTTTTTACGTGTTTACACGTAGAAAACACTTTTAAAGAAGCTATCTACAATGGTTGCCAGTAAAAGCAATAATTTTTTTGTCACGCATATGTTTGCTTTACTTTTTTCCGTTGATTTTATCAGTTTTCAGAGGGTAAACAAGCGTGAAGTAATGATATTTTGACAAATTTCAATAATTCGATTTATTTCAGTGGCGAGGAGAGAGAGGGAGAGAGATCAAGTAAGAAATGATGTCATAGTGTGTGATACGTGTGTATGTGTATGTGTGTGTGTGTGTGTGTGTGTGTGTTTATATGTGTGTGTAGTCAATGTTGAGCTATTGAACTAAAAAGTGTCTAACATGCCTATAGTGCCAAGTTTGTGCATTTAGAGCCTAAGTTTGAAGCCTTTATTATGATAAACAGCTCTTGCTCATCCTTGACCATTATCAGTATTTTAGTACTTTTTCAGGATTTCTGCTATATATTCTGAGCTAAGTCATCTATCAGGTCTTTGTCTGCCACGTAAAGAAGCCTTAAGGCTTGCCTTTACTACTTGTGACGCTACTTGAGTGCGTCAGCATGTGTTTGCAAAGCAGAACTTTCTGTCAATAAGGCTTGTGTTATTATATCCTCCAAATGTCTTTGCTTAGTCTGCATTTTTCTTTAGATCTAGAAGCATTTTATTCAGATACAAAAGTACTGAGTTGTTTATTTTGTATGATATACGCAAAAAATATTCTCAGTAAGTTTAAGTTTCAGTAAGGTTAGTATAAAATTTATAGCTTATCACTGCATTTATTTGCTAATGCCTTAATCTTAGTTAGCATATCAAAAGTATTTTATAAATTTTGTGACTTAATACTTATTATAATTTTTTGATTTTGTATCAGAAAATTACGTCAAGCAATTTTATTAGTTTCTCAAATTTCATCTCGTTTTTATTTAATGTAATGGAAGGCTTTTTCATTTGAATCATTATTTAATATATAATTGTTTCAGATTACTTCTAAATAAGATCGAAAATAAGATCTCATTCGCTCATTTATTTATTTACTTATTGTTCGATGTTTTTTCTTAGTCTTACAAATTTCTGTTAATTTTTTGTTTTAGCTTTAAATAAAATATTTTTGATTAGATATTAACATGTCAGTTCTCATGTTAGGATTTTTTAATATTTCTTTTACTTTTGTTGACTGCCAAGAAAATTAACTTTTTCAGTTTCGTTTAAATTTGTATTTAATGATCAAAAGATATTATCAATTTCATTATTTAGTTGTAATTTCAAGTTTGTATATGATCGCTTCGTTTACAATTGTAATTAAATTACATGCATAAAAAAACTTTTTCAGTTAATGAATGGTCGTGGTAAGGCCAACGGAGCGGTTGACAATCAAACTTTCACAAAATTTCTCTTCAATAGAGATAAAGGCACCTTGTTAGGTCGAACTGCTAAGTCATGGGGTTTGTTCCTTTTTTATAGAAATCTTATATTTTTTTACTTTTTAAGTTTAGTTTGTATAAGAAGTAGTGATATCGAATGTGCTTTTTACTAAGCAATCTATCTTGATATTTATGTATTTGTGCTAGTTTTTAGTTACAAAAAAATTAAACTATATGTATTTTCATGAGCTTTCAGTTTGAAAAATTGTGATGTATATATATATTCAAGTTTCAAAAGTCAAATAAGATTCGCACATCCCAAATAAATACTTGCTGAGTTACCTTTAGATACACTTCCATTATTAAAGAAAGTTGAAAACATTTACAAATATTTAGTCGCTAAATAACAAGAAAGCATTATTATTTTAAAGATTCTTTGAAATTATTATAGTTTCAATCTTCCTACGAAATATATTTTCAGTTGAAATATTGGGATTTTATTTACTCTTTTATACATTACTTATGTCGTTTTGGATCAGTTGCCTACTAGTATTTCTTTCGACATTGGATGATAGAGTACCTCGCTATTATGGTAAAGGAACAATCATTGGTATAAATCCTGGTATGTTTGGTACTTTATTCATGTTAATTGTTTACGTCCATTTAATTAATTGGAATAAGTAGTGGCTTTAGATCTGAGTTGTTTCTTTATTTCCAGTTTATAGCGTACATAACATTAAAATATGGCAAATCATGAATAGCTCCGAATTCTCTTCAGTATGATCTTTAAAGATGACAAACAAAATTCTTTCATTAATTTTCTACCGACTACAAATTTTGCTAGTAAACTTTTTGATGACATCAGAAAAACTTTTAGCATATTTTTTTTTATTCTAATTCATATCCTGTTTTGAAGTTGGACTAAACCGTGTTAACAAACATATACTTTTTAGTTCGTATTTATAAATTTAAGGCGTTGGTTATCAGCCATGGCTTCTGGATGATCCTGATTCGACCTTGATTAGGTTCAACATACGTGATAAGTCATCCTATCAAAAATACGTTGGTAAATTGGAGAATTATCTTTCAAAGTATAATAATTTAACGGCAACTCGTGTATGTGTTGGTAATCAAAGCAATGCACAGCTTTTCACAGATGGAAACGCGAACGCTGAGCATTTACCAGGAGATGACGTAATTAAGGTGTGTCGTTGATAATTGTTCTATCAGTTATTTTCAAAATTTTACTATTTCAAAAATGAAAATCAGTTATTTTTCATAAGGTTGGAAATTATTCGTTTTTTATTTTAGTCATGTCGTTTCGAACTAAAACAATTTGCCGAAGCAGGTTGCAGTAAAAACAACGATTTCGGTTTTTCTGAGGGTAAACCATGCATAATTTTAACATTGAACCGACTGATTGGTTGGAGACCAGTCGATTACGAGCCTGATTCAGTGCCTGAGGTGATTCGGGGACGATATAAGCCTAAATTTGTCACTTTCAAATGTGATGGAACGGTTTCTTTTCACTTTTTTCAAATATGTAAAATTTATATAGATTAGATTAAATATCTGTATTTGTGAATTTAAGTGTCATTTAAAAATTCAGTAAATGTATGAAACTAGATAATATTGAAAGTTATGCTAATGCATTTTATTGCAGAGCGACTTCGATAAGGAACATATTGGTAATGTGACGTACATTCCGGAAGCGGGTATTGATGGTAAATACTATCCTTATGCTGTTATGCCTAACTATCAGCAGCCTTTCGTAAGTTCTTTATCAATTTAGAAATTCTGTATTGCGCAGTTAATGAAGAAATTTGAGAGTTATTCCATTCTTACATTGGCCTTGATGACACTGAGTATTGTAAAGCTTTTAAGGTCAGCTGTAGTGTGGATTTTATGAACCTTTATAAAAGATTTTAAGGATCGAATTAATGAACAACAACTTTAAATTGACTTTTATCAAAATCTTGAAGGTTGAAATGTAGCATAGAGTTAGTTGCCAGGCAGTTTCAATTATGGGAAGCAGATTTTTTACTTAGAGAGATCTTTCTTATCCAGCTTCTAATGAAGTGTTATTTATCGTCCTATCTTGAATATGGTTGTGTTAGTTTCTAATCTCGTTTCCTCTCGCTTGAGAAAACGAGATTAGAACTAAAAGAGAAGGAAAAAAGATCAAAACTAAAAAAATGAATATAATTAATATGGATTTGATAGCTATCAGCACTCCATGCCCTAATTTTATTCTTGATCACATTTAATCAATCACTTTTTCCTTTAACTCCAACTGCCAAATTTTTGTCAATCATGGTTTAGTCAGTTGTAATCTTATTTTGTTTTCAGAAAGAAAAAAATCAAAATCTATCATCAGTTTTATTTACATCTAATCGTTAATATAAATTATATCTTCAGAGTATCATCATGTTTAATCTAAAAATTAACGAAGAGAAAAGTATATTCGATAATCAGTGCAGTCAATGTTTCAGGCTATGATAAAGTTTGATCATTTGCCACGTAATAAATTGGTTTTGATTGAATGTCGAGCTTTTGCTCAAAATGTTGAACAAGATATTACATCGAAATTGGGAATGGTTAATTTTGAAGTGATGTTGCAAGATATTGAACCAGAAAACCCTGTTGAGCAGCTGCGGTAATATAAATGAAAGCAGAGACAACTTCAAATTGTTATGACTGGTGAAAGGTTTCATAGGATATATACCTGTCAACAGTGATACTTACAGGGCTTATTGGTTATCGCTTCTTGTATTATCGTGAAGCAATATGCACAATATCTGTCTATTTATTCTGTTTTTGTACTTGATGATCTTTCCTTTTCAGCATGAAGCTCTAGACACTATTTCACGCGTGATTAAATTTTGTTAGCTTTCGATTATATTTAACTGATACCGTTCTTCGAATGCTGCAATTCATAATACCTTTGTAGCTGTGATTATCAATATGTTCTTTTTTTTCGTTATACTTTTAAATTTCTTTTCAAGTTCTACAATTTAGAAAGGATAGATTTGGTGTGACAAATAACAAGATACTAAGAAGCGGTATCATTTTCATAATAATTGAAAGCAATTAAAGAAGCTATGACAAAATTTAACAACATGAAGTGATGTGTCAGTCTAGATTTGGATACAGTAAACTGCCTAAAATGAGCTGATGCTTGAGAAAGGTAGATCATGATGTTCCTCAATTTGGAAGTTCAGAAATCCAAATTTTGACTGAAAAGTTTGCTAATCTGCCAAGAGTAGAGTTTCTTCTCTTCTTTTATTCAATGATCTATAGTTATCACTTTTTCGCAAATGCATAAATGTGATGTGATCATTGCTGAAAAATTGTTATTCATGTTGTAGATTCAGTTATTATTAATATTAGTAGTTTTTGAAAGTTATTGGTCTTCAGCGCATACTCCTTGTTTACATTGTTATGGAGGTTAACCTTGAAACATCCCGCTGATTCTTTTATAAACATGTGATATAAACATGCAGGCATAGACACACGATTTTAATGAGCAAATTAGCTACTGTCTATGAAGCGGGTTTGAGCTTATTTTCTCTTTCTTTTAAATATTAACAGCTGTTATTGTTGTGACATTTCTTTTCATGTCGCGAGGAAAAATCTCATTCAAAACATATATAAATAGAGCAAAATTGACTTCACAATCATTCTCTGAATGATCTTAAATACTATTATCAGATTACGGAACTAAGTGAAAAGTATTACTGAGTGTAGTGAAGAATCGGTAGCAGTAATTTCTGGGCATGTTTACAAATATTAACAAGTTTGATTGCTTATCGTAAGAGCAATATACTCGTAGCATGAGGTTTTTTGCGTCATAATCCTTACGGAAGTAATCACACCTCTACTATATTTATTGTTTCTAACGTGATAATTTGAAATAGACTTTCAGTTTTTCAATGCTGAATGTAGTTGTGTACAAAAAACTGTTTTGCATTCATTCTGGACTAAGCACGCAAACATTCATCATTCATTGTTTTGTGTATTTTTTTATGTCAGTTCTCAGATCTGCTCACTTGGAGATAATAATTTTTGTATTATTTAGCTAGTTTTTCTGTACACTTTCCTTTTTGGTATACATTTACAAAAACGAGATTAATCTCAAATAATTCTAAAATATTCTTAAACTAATAAAAGTGATGCTTTCCACTAATATTATTCGTAGGATAATTGTTAGAGAATAGTGTTGAACCAACTATGTATGCTAAGTAGGTGTTAATTACTCAAAGTAATCATTATATTCACATCAATTACGATTGAATATTCTCGAAGAGTCATGAAGTAGTTTGGAGAGTTTGGGAAGTAATCACACCTCTGCTATGTTTTCTTCATCTTTTAAATAACTGATAAATGATTGTCTTTTTTTCAATTTTTTTTCTATTCAGTTTTTCGTCGTCAACTATTACAATGAATATGAAATCATTATATTACCATCTAAAAGTGATGATTTCATTTTGTAATAATTATTTCTTTTGTAGTTGTCGTTAAATTAGTGTTAATGTAATTAATGTAAAGCTGCCTCTGAGTTCTACAGCAATATCTAAGTAATATGATTATTGCTTGAGCGTTTTCGCGGTATACAGTTTTTGTTGGGATGGAAGAGTAGACTTGCTAATATGCACGCTCATGCTATAATTGTAAATTTGTGTAGTGCAGTTCCAGAAGCATGTTGTACCATGTAAATGATTAATTTTTCGTAGAATCAAGTTGCTAATTATAAATTTACTAGCTCAAAAGTATCCATTATTAAGTTATTCATAGGCTATTAGATTATTTAGTATTTTAGTGCATTTGTAGTATTCATATGTTTAGCAATGTATAAGCACATATAATGTCATGTAAACATATTTTTTATTTGTATTACTTTTTAAACTACTTTGCAAGCAAATTCAAAAAATTTCCAAGTTTGTAAATTATATTTTGTAAGATAAAGTTGGAAAATAGCTCTAGATTTATCTGTTTTTAATCTTTGATGTTCATAGATGTTTCAGTATTTTTGTTGTTTTTAAAATTATCATTAAACTAATTCACTGTTAGCTGGAGTATAGGAGACTGCTATATTAATACTTTTATTTTTTATCATTTCTTTTGTTGAGAAGCAATGTCTGTAGTGTAGAAAAAGTCTCGTGTCAAAGTAATTTACGTACTAATTCACGGCACCTACGTTAAAAGTTAGTACAAGCAATCTTTTCACTATGAAATTGATCGTGAAGCAATTGAATATACAGCTTGTTTACTAACTAATTTGAGTTCTTATGTTTGTTTCTTCTGTACATCTGGAAGGTGGTGAATATTTTTAATGAAAACGTGTTCGTTAGTATCGTGGGACGTGTATTATTAGTTTATAGTAAAAAAATATATTGAGATGTAGGATGTGGTCGCGTCCGTGAAGTGTGCAGTACTCATTACCTTGTTTGTTTGCAGTAATCAGCACGTTCACTACATGAAAAAATTCTTGCTGCAAATTGATTACGTAAAGAAAAGCAACTACGTAGAAAACGCCTACAAGAGTTAACTGATCTATTCACTCTCTGACAGTACTATAGATATATTCGCATTTGTTTTTAGTATTACGTAAATATATAGGAATCGACGAAAGCGATGGATGCAGTAGATTCAATATTACAAATTGTTAACTATATAAATTATTCATATTATTTCAATCGCATGTTAGTATTTGGAATAAGTACTAAATATATCTTTGTATATCAATACATAATCTTACACTTTACTAAATTATACTTTGCTGTTAGATAAAGTTGATGTATTCAGAAGCATTCATCACTAGGAAGAATCACTAGGACCATGCAGTACAAGTTTTCGTCACGCACATAAAACTGCGTAATTCAGGTTTATAGCTGAGTGAGGGGAATAATGCCTTCATGTGATAGAAAGTGAATTTGAGTAATAAATACAGAACATGTGTTTACATTTAAATATTATCCTTGAGTGTACTTGTAGCACATTCTATTGATGTCTGAAGTACAGAAATTTGTATTGTAAGTTGGCGTGCAACTACATCACGCTCTGCTTGACTTTTTGCATTCTTCAATGTATTAATCTGAAATTCATCAATCATTTTGTGGGACACAAGGATGTATGTTCAAAACAGTATTGTATAGGAAAATTTACATTATTGATTGGATGCTATTAAATATAAACTTATCTATAAAACTATCAAATACTAATCAATCAAACTTTTTTAAATTATTTTAATTCTTTAATCGATATTATATACTTGAAATTTATTCATCAGAAGTATGCTTACTATATCATGAATATTGTTGATTGCTTTGCCTGAATATTTATTGTTATTGCTAACGCTGAACAAAAGATGTCGTTGCGTAGGTTCTTCTGGTGTTACACCTCGAGGATTAATAAAGCATCGTTCAACAGCCATCAAACGATCATTTACAGAAGCTAATTTCCTTGAATAATGCAAATTACTATCATTTTCAAGCAAAATATTTCCAATACAAGCATTAAATTTTCGAGCAGATACCACAAATTCCTGCAAATTGTAAAAATTGTAAAATATATAATGCACAAATTTAAATTTAGTGAGTCAATTCGATGCATTTAATTGAGTAGTTTAATAGTAATGAAAGATATTATGCTTATTCAATCTGAAGTATAAAAAATTGCTTAAATTAAAGAATTCTGAAGGAAGTTTGCAAATTTTTTGTAAAATTGTTTCAAAATTGTACTTACAATTGTAGCTTTTATAAGATAATAAAGTTGACGTTTAGCATCGCGTAAAATATTCTCAAACTTTTTTAATTCTTTGATTGAATCAACAATTGATGGAATATAAATATTCAAAATACACACTGCAAGATCAGTAACATTGATTGGGAGAATAATAGCATCAGCAAATTCCAGAGCAATACCTGCCCAGTACTTGCCTACTGCTTCATGTACCTAAAAAATTAGATGTGATTAATGTTGGTATTTTAAAAGATCAAATTTTAAATCAGAGTCCAAAATAAGTCATCAATTTGAGTCAAAATTGTTATCCAGAAAATCTTATACGAAAAAAATATTTAGATTAACCAGAATTAAAATCTATATTTTTAACTTTAATTGTAATAATAAATGAATAGTCATTTCAAGAAGTACTAAGCAATATTTGACTTAAGCCACGGAATAATTTTGCTACAAACCGCTAAATTATTCGTATCAAAGATATGTTCATTTGTAAACGGCGTTTCATACATAGAATGATAAAGTGGGTAACTCCCATACATTGTTTTGTTTCTATAATACTTTTTTATTAATAAAATTTATTAAAAATTATTTTTAAAAAAAAATTCACAAAATTTAAGTTACAAAACCATTGCTGATTGAAGGATTTTAAAATAGACGTGAAAATAATACATTTTGAGAGTTATTAATGTTTACTATTTTCTCCGTTACTATTCATTTTATTTTATGGTAAGATATTTTTTACAGTTCACCTGTAGGTGATGGCAGCAACAGGCACACCAAGGTAATTCAAGAATGGTGCATGATCACTTCCACCGCCTGGGATAGGCATTGATGGGATATCCGGGAGGAAATCAATATCGCTTGGAAAAGTTTTGATCCTATGATAAACCAAATGTATCTGCGTTTAATCACTTTAATGAAGGTAATTATACAAAGTATTTATTTTTAAAGTAAATATACTGAAAATTTACTTACTTTGCGATATAAAAATTTTTCTTATTATATAAATGAAAAACAAAACAAAACTTTACCACGTTTCGTATAATGATTTACGTCCATGACTTTTTTCAGACTCCATTGGATTTGCAATTTGTTTGGAAATCTTACTTAATGTTCGATACAACGTTGGCACCGTGGAAACGTGCCTGCAAATTCAGCAAGCAATAATTGAAATTATTATTTTAAAAATGATTAATGAGTACTGTTTATCCAAGAGTAATGGCAATAATATAGTTAGGTAAATATTTAGTAAACTTAAGTAAATTAAGTATTTAAATAAATTTGTTATCATAAAATGTTTAGTAAACAAATGTTGCAATATTGCGTTATAAACTAATATTTAATTAATTGCTTATTATGTCATTATATTGATCAACCGTATTTAGTTCAATTCATTACTTGTTACAAATTGAAACTATAATTTTAGTAAAACAAGCAAACTATTTCTAAATTACAATTTGCTAAGCAAAATATATAAAAACTGAACAAGGATTTATTGGAATTAATATTGTCTACATTCAAATACACCACTGCTCGTTGGCTCAACAAATTTGCATATTCTTCTACAAATTCTGTTGATCCAATTAATCCGAATTCTTCAGCATCCCAATTGCAAAACATTATCGTTCTTGCTAAAATATTTTCTCATAATTTTTTTTAATATAAATTTTCTCTTCAAATTATTTTTAATAATTTTTATTATTACTGAATTACTAATAATTAATGTTCACATCAGATTTAAATTGTACTCAATTTAAGCACACATATTTTGCTTTATTGGCTTTAAATCTATTTGAAAAATTATAATTCACAGAGTTATCCGCCAAAAAATTAAGCAAAAATTGAAATTAAGATATAATTTGACCAGGTTTCCAATTTTTATCCTTCATCGTTTTGACGAGAGCTCGAGCCACCTCAGCCAGAATGGCAGTGCCACTATTCGGATCTAATGAGCCATAAACCCACGCATCATAGTGATTGCCTATGATAACATATCGGTCAGGATCTGTTGTACCACGTATATACCCCACCACATTACGAATAGTTCTGTAATGACTATTTTTTGAATAACGTATTAATTACTACAACATTTATTAGGTACTGAATATTAGAACAATCGCAAAAATACATCTGTCTTATTATTAAAAAGTTTCATCTATTTACTTCAGAAAATAAAATTTTTTCATATTTATAAAAATCCGATTCCACTTGACTTTACTTCGTTTTTTAACCTTTGACTTTCAGTATAAAAATTTGCTGACAGAAATCTAAAAATGATTTTTGCTTGAAATTTATGAATTTAAGTTTAGTTTAGTTTGAGACTATTCTTATTTACTCACCTAGTGGAAAGTGATGAATGAACTGTTAGTCTAATCTTGCCCTCATGAATTTTCATGTTCGGACCAATATAATAACTAATATTTAGACCACCTTGCCAATCAGTAGGTGCTAAGCGACCAGCCATTTGTATTAAGATTTGATAAGCATCTGAGTAACTTAATGGTATCACTGGAATTTTTGGCAAGATACCATCAGCTATAGCCTGAAATATAGCAAATCTTTAGAGAATAAGCGTGAATTGCATTTGCTTACTAAAGTGGTAATCATTTATTGCGTTGAATTACCCAAAAAGTATCAGTTTCTGAAAATATGTGCAAGTAAAGATTAATTTGAAAACTGAAATAACAAAGTTAAAAATGCTATCAGATGTGTACTTCTTCAACGGTTCTGGAACGGTACAAATTTTCTTTGGAAGGATATAAGGGAGAGAGTGGATCTCCGTTTCCTAGCATAACTAATCCTCGTTGTACACCTTTGTTGGGCATCCATTCTGTGTTTGGATAAACTTTTTCTGCATGTAAATTTAATTTTTATCTAGACTTTCAGTCAAGCTTTTAGCATTTGTATTTCAAATTTTCAAATTTCAATTTTACTTCAAACTCAAGTTTGTATAATCATGAGATAATTTTTAAAGTAAATCCTATTTTGATTTTAATAATTTAGCTTTTTAGAAATAAATTAGTAATTTTAGCTAGAATATGAATTTTTTATCCGAGAGATTTCGATTTTATGAATCAATTAAAAAAAACTAATAAGTAAACTAAGTAACAAATAAATGAATAGTAATGATAATCGATCATATCATAATGATCTATAAATATTTTATATCAAAATATAACCTTTTAGAATACCATCTCGCGCAACTTCAGCAGGATCAGAAAATAGAATTGCGCCAATAGCTCCTTGAATTTGAGCATTCCGAACTTTATTACTGCGGTGACCTCGCCCATATCTCATCATTACTATTTTTCCCTGAAGGAATACTAATAGCGAAATTATTTGACCCTTAAATCAAACTTACACAACACTGACCTGTGTCTACAAAGAAAGTTTTTTCGTCTAATTTTTTTACACCTAAATTTGATCGTAGTCTTGTCTTATTTTTGTAAGAAGGATAATCTGAAGTACAATTTCTTAAAGTGATTAACTTTGATTAAAATGAAGTTGTTTAAAAGTTATAGCGATTCAAAATACTGAAGAACTACTGATTAATCAAGAAAAGATGAAATGAATTTAGCATTTATACTTTGGGGTCAATACCAAATTGCTTCAAACGCTGGAAGTCTTCTATTCTGCCGTAATTGCAGTAAACTATTTGACCTTCCACAGTGCCATTTGCAGAATATGCTAACCATTGTATACCAGCTCCTAAATGATAATCCGTTTAAGTATTCAAATTCGCAATTATTTAAATATAAATTTCAATTCATGCAAATGCTAAGTTTTATCATTGCACAATTAAATTTTTTAGCATGAAGTTATATCTAAAATTTTTAAAATAACCTTTATGACTTTGCTCTTCTGCAATAATCACTGGGCTGATACCTTTGGTAGTATATAAAACATCACCATTTATATCTAATATTTGCATATGATTTGGGTTACTGTAATCAGGATAGGATAGAAGCACATCATATTTTATAAAGTGAACATCTGAAACACAGATGAATCTTTAATTCAACAAAATTCATGTCAAGATAAAAAGTTAAGTAAAAAAAATTCTAAGTGAGAAATATTTTTGTTTACTTTTATTGTTTTTTCTGTACTTCAGTAATTTGCAAATGCTCTTGCATTTTATGTCAATATAATTATTAATTTTTATTTATCAAAAAAAGTAATAAGTAATTACTTTGTAAGCCAATTGCTTTCCAAATCTCAGATATTTTTTCTGCAACTTTGTTGTTTGCTAAAGTTCCAGCCGGATGAGGCAATTTAGTGAAAGCATGCAAATTTTCAGCGATTTTGCTGCCTTGTATTTCTGATATGATTGCATTGAAAATACTTTGATGATATTCTAAAAACTTCCAATTATATACTTCTTCAACACTCATGGGAATATGCAAATTTTTCTTACAGGCAAAAAAAAATAGTCAAGCCAATTATTATATGTATTTAGCCCGAAACTTTCGCTCCAAAAAATATCAAAAAAGAGTTTAAGGGAATTTTTTCTAAAAGTTCAGAGAAAATTTGCTGAGAGGTATGCAAATATCAAATATTATACATTTTATTGCATCTAAAAGCAGAAAATGACATCTTATAATAATGATATTTTGCAATTATTAATATATTTTCCAGTAAGAGGATAAGATCACTATGAGGTTATTACTATGTTATAATCAATATGGAATCATTATTATACACATCATTACTATTATTTTATAATCATTATTATTTTCTAATAAACTGATGAAACGAAACTGAAATGTCAACTTGTTTTGTGTATTGCAAACCAAATTTGAATAGAATTTTAGTAGTAATTTCAAAAGTCTTGCGATAAAGTAATAAATGAAAAGTATTTGTATTAAAAAAATCTAACCTTTGACCGTCAAAAGTCTTGATAAATTTGTTATCTGAGTATTGTGATTAACAGCAAGAAAACCAAACAAAATTATGATTACAAGACCAATTATTGGTAACAAAGTAGGTCTTAAGATTGTCATTTTGTAGAAATTTCCATCTGAAACATCCATAAATATTAATTATAAAAGTTAAATACAAACTAGCATGAAAAACTAAATTTGAAATGATTAAATGTACTTGAAAAATGCAATTAATTGTCACTGACTATTAATTATGCTGAAAATTTACTATCAAAGCTGTTAAAATTTGCATCAATTTAGGATAAGTCACATTTTAAATAATTATCTTTCAGTATTTTTGCTTCAATACAATTGATTTTATTAAAAATTTTATCGTTTAAATTTTTTATTGTTGTTTTATTTGCATAAATAACTGTTAAACATAAAACAATTCAATGATTGCAAGCGATATGTTTTTACGAAGTGAACATTTATATGTCAAAATATAAAATTTACACAAAATATTTAATAAGTTATTTCTATGAAAAATAATTGGTTTTGTGACAAACTTGTATAATTCTTGCAGTAATTAAGCAAAAAAGTTAGAAAAATAGAAAAAAATTGGAAAAATGTTTTTTTTTAAAGAAAAAATAAGCTTCAAAAGCTTTATTGAAGCATTTAGGTTAGAACTCAAATAGATTCTAGCTTAGAAATTAAATATACTTTTAATTTTTGAATTTAATCCAAACAAAATTACTGACAAATATTACTTACTCATCACACTTCTCATATGCCATTCAACTTTCTTGAATGCCAACAATTGCTTTGCTCCTAAAAAATCACAAATATTGTCAAATTACAAAATTTATCAAAACAAATTTTCCTTTTTATATTTAACATATATATTTAAATAATAATAAATAAACTATTTAGTATACAAAATAATTATTACATAAAAGATAATCAATCGTTAAGCACTGTACTATTTTTGATAGATACTGTTTAGTTTTTTTGCACTATCTATCTTGATTATGACAGTACTACAAATGCTATTTAATATTAATATTATAGCAATTAAAATTGGATTAGTTATAGTTTGGATAGAAAATTAGGTTAGAAGCAGCTGCTTTCTGAAATGGCAGTCTAGTTGTAATGATTATCAATGAACAAAGCTACTGAATATTACTCGACAACTGTTATTCATCACTGACTTTCATTCACTTCAACCTTTGCTCAACAATAAAGAAATGCTATGATGCTTTGCTATTCCATTACAAAACTAACCTTTGACCTTTGTATGCATATATTTTAATGGAAAATTAAAAGTTTAAATACATTAAAACGCTGCTTGTTATTAGTGGATTAAAGATCAGATTATTTCTTATGAAAGCATTTTTAATACATGCTTCAATCTTATGTTTATAATTATGTAAATAGAACTATTATTATTTTTAAAATAAGCATATTATTTGATATGCAAAATAATTAAAAAATTTGCATATAATATTTTATGCTTTACACTCTGAGAAGTTTGAAATTGATGAATTAATAATAGTTAGTTTGAATTATTTGAATGAAAAAATAAACTGAAAAATTGATGCTCTTTTCAAATAATTTTTGTGAGTGAATACCTTTTGTATAAAATTAAAAAAAAATATTTTTCATAAAATATTAAAATAAATTTTAACATTTCACTTTTTGTTCGCTAAATTTATTCGTTCAAAAAAATGATAGATTATAGTAAAGTAATTGATTACATAATTTAGTACTTAAAATTGTTCATAATTCCTATTAAGTTATATGAATTTGAATCATTGTGTAACAGTGATGATATCAGTTAAAAATTATCTGTTATGTTTTTAAACGCTTTTTCATTTGAGACTTATTTGAACCCTTCAACGTAATTTTAATCTTTTAAAAGGTTAAATAATTTCTAAAAATAAAACTGAAAGTGCGTTTTTAGAAAAAATGTGATCTATTTTTAATTTTCGCAAATTTAAAATGATAAATAAGTTTTGTTATTATTTGAGATCGCAAAACATTTATCAACTTTGATCTAAATTTTTGCATTTGCAAAAAATTTGTCTTATTTTTTATCAAAATATGAATTAAATTCAAAACTTGCACCTTTTTTTTTAAAAAAAAAACAATGAATTTGTAATCTAATTCTGCGTTTTATTCAATGTGTAGACAATTTTACGCAATAAATCAAAGAAAAGCATTAAAAATATGTATTTAAAACTAGTTTTTGAATTAATATTTACTTCCAAAAGCATTAACATTGGAATGTGATAAAGTGGAGGCAAGTTTGCTTGCGAAGAATAGCAAATAATTAAATGAATGATAAATACTGATAATAAAGTCAATCGTACTTTCCCCGTCACTTCACAACTGCAGCAGATAAAAGTAAGAAGTACTTGCTTACTTTTGTATATTTACTAATTAAATTATTAATTACTGTATTTTTTTCTGATTCAAACTGAATATTTTTAAAGGTCAATTCTTCAGGACAGTTAAGCTAATTATACAACTTCTACCTTGATTTTATGGAGTGAGTTTCAAAATTACCTTTGCTTTCCAAAAACACAATATTATTAGTCTTATTATTATATATTTCAGTGTATAATTTACAAGTAAAGAGTAAAGATGCAATTCACTCTGAATTCTAATTACTTTGAATGAAAAATATTATGTTAATTTAAGAAAAGTAATTATTGTTCATTTAAAATATTAATAATTTCAGTACTAAAAACTTTCTTTTAGGAACAATATTGTAATTTATTTAGTAGAAGTCAAAGGTTAAGTTCAAATGGCAAAAGGTTATGTCTGAACTGTACTTAATTATTTCAGTCTTGTGGCAATAATGAAAAAAGGAATTCTTAGCAAGAAAAAGTCATTACCTGGGCAAGAAATAATGACAAAGTATGGAAAAGTTCAAGGAATTCGTTTAGTAAATTCTGGAAACTGTAAAATTGATGCATTTCTTGGCATTCCTTATGCCAAACCACCAATTGGAGCATTACGTTTCAGAGTTATCTTTTATTTCTTCATTAAGAGATCAGATTAGATTAGATCATATTAAATTAGATTAGATCATATCAAATAGGTTACCTTCCGCATCTTTTCAAATCCACTATAGTAGATTAAACTGAACAAAGTAATTATAACTTGGTGCAATATCATTACAGTCTATTTCAGTATATAATTTTTACATCTCTAAAATACTTCATTAATTATTTAAGCATTAATGTTTTTAATTGATAATAAAAATTATTGTATGAACTAAAATTATAATTATGAATCTAAGTTGCAAACACCGCATTACAAGTATTCTTTCTGATTGCATTGTGAATTTTTTTTCTTAAAAAAACTTCTGAAAACTTTTTGTCTTCTATTTGTTGAACACTTGAAGGACTTTTCTTCACTGATTTTGTTACAAAAATTGAATTTTAAAACTGGTATTTTTATTAAATCGCATTTAATAATCTTTTTTTAAGTAAAACTTTTTTTGTTCGTTTGCAAAGAAGCAATTTAGAAGCAAGTAATTGTTGGAATTATTAATTATTTGTTTAACAGTTTCGATGTAATGATTTCAGAAACCAGAACCACCAGAACCTTGGGAAGGTGTAAAACAAACAATACGATTTGGTCCACGTCCTCCTCAAAAGGATTTACTATGGATTGAACTAGGAAATAAAGTTAAAAAAAGCGAAGATTGTCTTTATTTGAATGTATTCACTCCAACTTGGACTAGACCGAAAGATCAAGTATTATTTGTGGCTTTAATTATATGTAAAATATTAGAATATATGTAAAAATGATAAGAAATTTAACTTATAATTAGCATTCAAACTTAAATTAAGCTTAAAGGCTTTTTATTAAGGAACTTTTTTTAATTACTTTTAATTTTTATTTGCAAATAACTACGATTTACGGTTGAAAAATGATGTAGTTCAAGATCTATCACTGCGAAACAAATGATTTTGTGCGGAAGACAGGTAAATAAAATTCAAAGATAAGGATAAAAAGTAGTTCTGAATTACTAAGTTCCATTTTAAGTACTTGAAAGTTATAAATAATTGAATAAGATTTAATTATTTTTGAAGTTCAATTAATTTAAAATTTATTTATTGATGTGATAAAAATAACAAGTTTTCAATTATTTGATTTCTCCATGATTTGAGCTATCACAGATTTAAATCAATATAAAATTATATTTTAGCACATAACTGATACAATTTTAATTGCTATAATATTGATATAAAGTATATCATATAAATGATTTTTTATTCTTTCTGTAATGTGATCGGAATTTAAGTAAATGGCCTAAGAAATTGCAAATAATTGTCGAAAAAATTTCAGTACTGTAAAAAATAACAAAGCTAGCATATTTTATTTATCTCAAAATTAAAAATAAGTTAATTAAGTAATTTTAAGTTTACTGATTCATTCTAAATTAGAATTACTTTTCTTTGCAAATTTTTGTTCAAGATTCAATAAATTATTAGTTATTAGTTTGCAGCAAAATGGATTTGCAGTAATGGTATTTATTCATGGTGGAGGGTACGCAATGGATTCAGCGTCTAAATATGGCCACGTGAATATTTGCAAGTAATTTTTATTATATAAAAAAAATAATTAGACCAGTTATTAAAATAAATTAAAAATACAATAAACCTTTTTTTGGATTTAATTTACAATAAAATATATTTGCATGTTTAAGATTTGCTGAAGTTTAAACATTTTTGCTAACATTTAGTACTATTTGTCGCCATGATGTTATCGTTGTAACAATTGAATATCGCCTTGGTTTTCTTGGCTTCTTTTGTACTGGTGATGAAGCATGTCCGGGCAATAATGGCCTATGGGATCAAACGATGGCATTGCAGTGGGTTAAGGTCAAGCAACTGAAATGATTCTCAATTCTACAATATTCTCGTTTTAAATTTGAAGCAAATATTTAAAAGCTAAGGATACTTGAATTTCTACTTCTAAATTTTATGCTTTAAATTTTAAATTTTTAATTGAATATTAAATTTTTAAATTTACAATTTAGAAGTTAAAGTATTTGTGAGAAGCAAAAACCAATACTGTAAATGCAAATAAAGTTTCTTTTTCAAAATATTAAAATTAAATTACACAAGAAAAATTAATTGCATATTTATAACTTGCAAGTCTATTTTTATATCTTTTGACAGTTTTATAAACTTATTAATTACAATGAAAAATTTGCATAGTTTTTATGATGTAATAGTAATCTTTCATGTTCAGGAAAATATTGCCGCATTTAACGGTGATCCACAACGAGTTACAATATTGGGTCAAAGTGCAGGTGGTGCGTGTGTTGATCTATTGTCCCTTTCACCCAAGTCAAGAGGTTTAACTTACTGTTCCTACCAAAACTAATCTCAAAAAAGTATTTAAGGGAAAAATCTTCAAGAAGTTAAATACTTTTACTCAAATTATACAAAGTAATTTAAGACAAGTCCAAGCATTAGTCTTAAGATTGAACTTACTGCTCTATTATTACTTTTCTTGAGCCAAAATGAATAAAATAAAATAATAAATTTTCAATTTTGCACTATTTGATAACAGAATTGTTCCAACAAGTAATTGCAATGGGTGGAAATGCGGAATGTATTTGGGCTGTGGGAAAAACTGAATATGTCGTAGAAATATGTAGACGATTTGCTGAAAGTGTTGGATGGAAAAGCAAGCTAAAAGGTCAATTTATCAAAATTTATATTTCGTTTTTATTTAAAAATATTTTAATTCTTACTTAATGCGTAAATTCATTAAAACAACTATTAATCACATTCAATTATTTTAAAAAGTAGTCATTTTGCCTTTTATCCATTATTTGAATCTGAATTGTTATTGAAGTGAGATTTTGAAGGTTATTAATTTTGAATCAAAAAATCTACAAAACATAGAATTGTTATTCCTCTATTGTAGAATAAAAAATAAAATAGTATTTTATATGAATTATTTCAATAGAAAGATACAGAAAGAGTTTTTTGGGTAGTTTAAAATTATATTCTCAGAAAATTTTTTTAAAATAATTTTAGACTGTATTTCGGATATGTACAAAATAAGAGTAGGGGTAGCATTTATTTATTTTTTTAACAACTTGGCTCAAGAGATATTAATAAGTTTAGGGAACTATCTGATATGACTTGGTAATATGTTAATATATTTTGAAGAGTTCACGTGAAATGTAATTGCAGTAACAATATTTGAGAAAGCGCGTACATTTTATTTCACTAAGAATGTTTTACAGATCGAGAAAGTAGTGAGAAAATGCTGGATTATTTACGAACTTTACCAAGAAAAGTATTTGAGCGAGGATTAATGAGCCAGAAGGACTTGCTTATTAATCGAACATATCTTGACCTTTCACCTGTAATTGATGGAGATTTTTTGCCAAAATCAGTTTCAGAATTAAGAAAAGATGCACCAGTTAAAGCATGTATGGTTGGAGCATGCAAACATGAAGGTCTTATATACGGTATGTTAGCATGAAAATTATACAGTAAGCTTATAAGCTATAAAATAATTTTTAAACTAATTAACAAATAAAATTTGATTTAAAGAATCTTTCGTTCAAGTCTTTGCTTCCAAATTTCTTTTCTAAGAAATAAAAATGAGAATAACTAAGAAACTATCACATATCTTTCATATTCTATCTAGTATGATAAAACATGATATCGTAGTAATTTTCTGGAAAATCTATCTTTCATATTCTATGTAGTAAGATAAAACATGATATCGTAGTAATTTTCTGGAAAATACTTTCAAGTCATAAGTTGAGATTCACGGAGTTCAGAATTATTTACACGGTAATTTTTTTGAGCCGCTTGATAATAGAAAGTTTTGAATGAATATGTATTCAATACAAAAACTTCCCGAACGGTTTGAAATTATTTTCTTTAAAATAAATTTTATTTTATTTTGTGAAATTATTTAAAGAAATAAAAAACTTAAGCATATACTTAAGCAATATTAATATTAGTACTCAGTTGACTGAACATATTATAATTCTCGAATAATTGAAATTTAATTTTTTGCACATTTTGTATTTTAATATAATAAGGATAGAAATTATTACAAATTATTTTTTAGCGGCCATTTCACCAAAATTATTCACTCTGAATGGCATTGATAAATTGTTGGCTGGATATATCCCTAAAGAAGATTATAACAATTACAAACAATTAAGGGAAAAAGCAAAGAATTATTACTTGAAAGGAATTGATATCAGTGATAAGTTATCAGTCGCAAGAGTATTTGAAGAAGTTATAATATGAATTTTTTTTAAATATTACTCAAGAATCTAATCAAAGTTTCATCTAAAAATCATTGTTGCCAATGATTAATATCATTATACTCAATATAGCTTCAATATAAATTTTTAATTTTTTCAGCATAATGGTGCCAATAATTGGTATCATCATTTATAATGGTACCAATAATTGGCACCATCATACTGAAAATTTAATGTTTACAGCTGTATAAAAAATGAAGTCTAACTTTTGCATATGTCATTTTTTCAGTTTCATTCATTCCTTTATCCCTTCAAACTTAGATTATCACCAGCATTTAATAGTATTTGAAAAATTAATATATTGCAAGATTTATATTTTGCTAACTGCAAGAGGGATATATCAAACTTCTTGTATTATTTAAATGAATTTCATTTCAGCTTCTCAGCGATTTAGCAATAACTAATAGTACGATTGAATACGCTGAAAAAATGACTAAATTTGGTCACAAAGTTTACCTTTACTCATTCGATCATTACAGTCCAAAGTGTTTTGGATTACTATCATTTCGTTTTCCATTCAAAGGTGATTTTAATTGAAACTTTCCGATCAACTTTTCTTGTCAAATTATTATTATTACAAATTATTATTACTTATGCTTTATTTCTGTTACCGACAAAAAATTTTAATTTTTACTTAAATAATTCTTGAGATAGCAATTCGAGAAAGTTGTTTAATGCAAAAAAACTGCCATCAAAAAATTTGTTCTAGTCAACTGAATTTAATTAATTTATATTTATTTAAGTCATGTTCAAGACTTTTTATTCCTTTCAAATTTTAAGCTATATTAAGCAAAAAAAGTATAAGAAATGGAAATGATTTATTATTAATTACTTTTCAGGCCAAAAATAGAAATTACTAATTACTTTTATGATTGAAAGTTCTACTAAGTTAGTGGCTATTTTTATTTATTTATTTCAACTTTAAACAAAACTTGAAATTTGAAGTTAGAACTTCAAATTCTTAGTTATTTTTCTAAACAACATTTAGGTTCAACGCACTGTAACGAACTAAATTATGTTTTTGGATTAAGCACTTTTCCATTTCCTTGGAAATCCACAAAAACTGATGACAAAGTCTGCTATATGACTTCAAAGTTATGGACGAACTTTGCTAAATTCGGGTTTATTTATTTAATTTTTTCTGTTTCATTACAATTAGAAGCCATAATGCGCACAAGAACTTGTTTCTCTATGAGATTAAGGACAAACTTATTAATGAATGTGCAGAGTGTGCAATCCTTCATGTCAGATTCTTTTTTGATGAAAATTGGCACTACGTTTAGAAATCCAAGTGATCGACGAGATAACGATGTAAAAACAGAAAATTGCATTGACTGGTTGCCTGTCAAAAATGGATGCACTCGATATTTCAGCATTGATACTCTAAATTATCAAATGAAAAACGACTTTGCTCGTCATCGGATTGAGTTCTGGAGAAATTTGAAAAATACACAGGAAGCTGTGATTGCATAGAGCAGTGTAAGGCAAAAATTATTGTCACGTAAATAGTACACACGTCAAAAATAATTTTAGACACACCATAAGTGCGATTGTACATACTCAAGTTCAAATTTCGAGATGGCTTAAAACAGCTCAAAATTTCCATAATCAAATGATTTACTTGATTTCTATTTTTTCAAGAGGTAGCGCTATGCTGGAAATGCATGCAATTCCAACATTTCAATCAATTAATGTGCATAAAAAGTGATTAAATATTTTTACTAATATATTAATATCTGAAGCTGTATGCTGGTTTAAATATATACTATACAAATAATAAAGAAGATCAAAATTTGAATCTTATTTGCGCTGAACAAAAAATTTAGAATATTTTTTCCAAAATCTCATAATCGTATTGATCACTGAGCAAAATTAGTGAGCAAATAATATTACGAATCAGTTGTGCTTGATAAAAATATGTTTCCGGCAGATTTGCTTCTTCAGAGATATACTGATTTTTTAGGCAGACCACTGCCACTACCAGTACTTCCACTTGAACCACCTTGCTTAGGGCCTGAAAATAATTGGTTATTTTTAATCAGAAATACAAAGCTCAGCCAGTTAGTCAGAGACCTTTTCAATTTGCAAAATTTGACTCAATTAATTACTTTAGATAATCAATTCAATTTATTAAAAAATATTCAGTTTATTAGATAGTCTCAGTTAATTTAATTTATTTCTATTTTTAAAGTGATTAGAGTAAGTTGAAGGTAACTTTTAGATAATATATCGAAAAAATCAGTTGTTCGAAATCTTTCAGTTATTGTTTGATTTAAAAATATTGACTACTACTATGAAAATTAATTTCAAAATTCAAATTTAAATTACTCAGTTGATCAGCGGTACTGCCAAAAATAAACTCCTTTGTCCGCTTAACGTTAGTGCCAGGGACTCCAATAGCATATCCACTTTGAATTCCAGCTCTACCAGCTGGGCAGTAGAGTGAGAATTCTTGTAGCGTACCACGACTACCAACATCAGTAGTGCCACTTCCACTCGGTACAGGACTGGCAGTTTTGATTCCTCCCGTTGGTCCACCTTCAGCCATCATTGTTGATATGTACTCTTGAACTGCAGCATCTGTACCAGTTGAACTATCAACAGGACTTTTACTAGCAGGACTTCCAGTAGGAGTAGTTTTGGCAGCATCTGTACTCTTTGTTTCACTTGATGCAGATGCTAAACTATCAATTATTAATATCAACAAAATTCTGGTTCAGTTATAACTGATGACATTTGATAATGGATGCTTTACCAATACAATTAATAGCTGTAATCAGTGCGCTGATGTATTACTGAATATTATAATGATTAAAAGTTAATTTAACTGATGCAATATAATTAATGGATAAAATTTGTAGACATAGCTATGACAGAATATTTAAACGAGAAATTAATTAATACTGATGTACCTAACTTCATAACAGTTGAAAGTAGAGCCTCACGAAGGAAAGTGATTTCCTTCATCATTTGTGCGATCACATCCTCCAAACGTTTGTTCTCACTTACAACCATTTCCAGCAATTTCTTGAGCTCATCATTGTTTTTCTGCATTACATCCAAATTCAGATTTTTTAACATATTCGGCATAATTATTTGAATAGCTTCTGAAATTTAATTCGCTTTTGATCTCTATAAATTTCAAATTTCAGATTATTCAATTCCATTGTAGAGTACTCGAAAATTTCTGCATTAGTGCACTTTCCTAGTTATAGTAAATTCTTTTAATAAGATCACTATCAACCAAGTATCAAGCAACATCAAATAATTCTTCTTAAAGTTCTGTGGTTAATTTTTGTGGTTTTCTTAATTTATGATAACCTAATCACGCAGCATAGTAGTTTAGTTACTGTAATTTATAATTCCGAAAACCAATTTTTTTAAATTATCATTCCCGCTTAGTTTCTTGATAAATCACAAAAAGTCTTTGACAAATAACAGATTTGTTTGCCTAATTTGAGTTTCTTTCAATATTCTACTCACAACAAATTACAAAATCTAAAATCAGACTGAAAATTCTGCAAATCGCCATTCCCTCTTCAGCATTATTTATTAACATTATTTAGCTTATTCGCTGGGTATGTAAAAATTAATCTTTGTTTTGACTGTTTATATTGTTTAGCTATAAATTTTATGGATGAAAACCTACTGCTTTCCTTTTTCTTCTTTTTACCTGCAATTAAACAGTTAACATTTAATGACGGCAATCTTTACTCGAAGTTATTCTTCTCAATATAAAATTAATAATCGCAACCAACCACTAAAAATTCAACAGAAAACATAATAAAAAATAAGACAAACTCTTCATTACTTCAGTGCAGTTGAAATTCCTGATAAAAATTTTTTTTTAAAATTTTATATCAAAAAATATTATAATAGTATTTTATACCATGAAGCACGGGAAGAAAGTTTTTTGACTAGAACTTAATAATTTTCAAATAAACTTACTTTTGGCTGTCTTCTTTTCTGAAATACAAAAGAGAATTAAACTCAGTAAAAGTCAGTAAGACTAGAGTTAAATATTTTAGAAAAACTCATCTACCACTTCTTACTCATTGTTACTTTTGTATTACCGTAAAACTACTTCAAAAATGAAAAAATGTTAGCAAATAAGCGATGCTTAAGATCTTTAGTTTGAATGATTATCTATTGCTTCACTTTTGACTACAAATCATAACTTACATGGTCGACGATACTTTGATACTTTTTGAAGATAATTAAAACCTTAAAACCTTAGTCTTGACAATAAATTTTACCATCCTCTCCGCTGGAACTTCCACTATCATCTTTTGTAGTCTTTTCTTTGGAAAGAACTTTAAGCAGCTGCGCAGCTTTTTCTTTATCCTTGAACAGTGCTTCAATCTCAGCTTCCAATTTAGCATCATTAACATCAGGCTGAAACCTTCATTCATTTCAATTACTTACCTCTGATTTAACACACTTATGATGCATTTTCATTATTTTTTGCAAAATTTTCCTTTATTCAAAACGTTGTATTGATCTAATATTTATTTATTTTGGTATACACTCAAATATTTTTCTGTGATATTTGCTGCTTTTTCATGTAATTTTTTCAGATCATTCAATGTCTACGGAAAGTATATTCGTAATTTCATGAATACTTTTTCGCAAATTTTTCATGAATACAAATTATTATTTTCTGCTCAACACTTTATTTGGACGATAAAGTCAGAGATACTTCATGTTTTAAAAATCATAATTTGTTTCAAATTCAGAAAAAATTTTGATTACTCTTAACTTCAAACTTTCATATTTTTATTTTACAATCATTAATGATTAAAGTCTAGTTCAGTAACCAAAAAATTTTCAAATTCATTAGAATTATCTGAACTAGAACCTTTGTGAATCGTTCTACTCGTGATATGCTTACGAACAAATTCAACTTATTCTCACTGCATTAATCCATAGTAATTATTTGAAATGATACTAATTTTTAAGTGAAATTAATAATGAATTAATATAAATATTCTATGTAAATTTGCGCAATTTGAATCTTGCAGCTAATCAGTACCGAAGGGGCGAAATTTTGTCCAGCTTTTGTTACAATTTTCCCTGCTACCAGTGGTGCCTTGTCTGGTATTTTTTTGTCGGTATATGCTAAAAATTAATAACATTTAAACTGAAACGTTTATGTCAAATTCATATGTACATTACAAGTTCATTCTCCATCAAAATATAAATTTTGCATCTTTTTAATTACTAAAGGTCTGAGCTACAATTTTTATATTATTTTCCAGTCTAAAATAACTCATTATCTTGACATTTTGTCCATTTCAGCTACCTAAGAACACAATTATAACATAACGTAGTAATAGCAGTGATTTAAACGATTCAAAATATTTCAAAGGGCATTAGAACAAAGCACAGTTATGAAATCTGCAAGCATTTTCAGATAATTATAGAAAATGTGCATATTTATTTGAAAGAATCTTCACCTCTTACGCGAATAACCAATGTACCTATATCAGCACCCTGAACGAATGGCTTTCTTGGATCATAGCCACTAGGTGAAGCTATGTACTCAACTACTAACTTCGTCTTTCCAGGTTTACCAGGCTAAATTGGCATTGAGAACTAAAACTAAGAAGGATAGAGATCCAAATTTAGCGTAATCCTAAGGATTAATACGTTGAATAATTTTAAACCTGATCTAACAATAGTTAATTTTTTAACGTTCTGATAATTAATCTAATAATATGAAAAAAACCATTCGCTGCAGTTGGAGTTCCTTCTTGATGCCAGGTTTCACAAAGCCGAGAGGCGGTGAGACCTGAAATCCGTAACAATTTGCATTTAAGCTCAACAGAAATAACTGCTGACTTCTAGTCTTCAAAATGCAATCACCATTAAGCGGTTGCTTGCATTAAATATTTCTTAACTTATAGAGGGCTTTACAAAGATTAGGAAAATATATCAGAAGTTGAAGGAAGTCTTCATATGACTTCTATACGGAAAAGTTATGGATAAATTAGGTTGTTAGAGTCATCATAACAAGAAAACTTTCTAAAATAACATAAATACTTGTTAAGAATATAATTAATTACAGAACATTAAGCAGAGATTCTGCATAATCCAGTGACTTTTTCAAATTTAAACGATGAAAAGTAAAAGACATGCGAACCCTGTATAAGTCGTAGTACTTTTGCTTCAGCTTTACCTTGAAAGCTAATCGTTCAGTGCCGACTGCTTCCAGAATATGAGTAGTTATTCCACCAGTTGCGGGTACCTATAGATGTTAGAAGTGAGATTTTTTGCTATTTCCTGCTCAAAAATCCTTTCCCTTTAGTTGATATCATTTTAAACCAAGATGTCCTAGAATTATTTAATGAGTAAACTCTATAAATGACCACTACGTCATTTTGAAGCTTATCTTATAAGCAAACAAACTTTCCACTTGGGATCATTTAAAGCTATTAACTTCAAGCGCAAAAACCGCAAAAATTATGCAAATATTGCTTGAAACCCACTTACTATGCAAACAGCAAGGACATCTTGACTCAACTCACCGCAAACATGAAAATCAAATACTAAATCAGCTCTCCGTAAATTTAATAACTAAAGGATTCGGAACAACTTTTCTTCATTTACCTGTATTGTCGCTGGCGTACACTGCAAGTACGACATCAGTAAAACCTAGCGATGGCCACCAGTGTGTAATCACGTAAAAATAAAAAATGGCAAATAATGAAAAGCAAACATTCCTTATCTGTTGCCTTCCTCATAGCTCTTATGCAAAATTTGAATATGCAAATTTCCAACTTAAAAATTTCTAACTCCATGATAATAAACCATTATTTCTACCAAGTTGTGAGGGTTTTTATCATAAAGTAATAGCATCGAGCAAATTTTTTACGAAATTCTATTTTCTTAAAACACATTCCAACTATCACACTGCGATTTCTCTGAAGATTCTAAAAATGATAACTACCAAAATCTTTGGAATTTCAAGCACATGCAGACGATCATAATTCTTTTATTCCAAATTCTCAAAATATCAAGTTTCAAAATGCGAGAATGGCATATTCTGCAAAATCACACGATCAAATATGGTACAAGTATATACAAGACACACGTCTAAGTCATTTTTCAAAAACACATTGCCGAAAAGTCATACCCCGATAGCAATCTTTTTCAACGTACGCCTTTTCACCATCATTTGTCATACGTGTTTTTTCGTAAACAAGTAATCTCCTGTAATTTCCACCGAAAAAAGTATGAAAGAATTAAAAAAATTGAACTCACAACCAATATACACGCAGAAAATTTGGAACTGACTGATTTCTTTCCATCTTGTAGCAATTACAAATTAAACTGACAAAATGAACTTTATTATTGGTTAAAAAATAATTACATAAAATGGAGAGAAACTAAATAACGTAAAAAAGATATGTAAAAAGTATAAATATATCATGATTTTCAACTATGATACATTACGGACATCAACTTGAGCGTGAAAAAAAAAGGCATAGGCAAAATTAATAATTTACCTCGAATATCTGACTGAAAGGGATTGATTACAGTTGTATACTAATCTCATGGCTGCATGCTTTGGAAGTGCTGCTTCAGAATACCTGAAAATTAATAAATACCACTATTTCAATACTTACTGTGTTTCACGCATTCAATAAAAATCAAATAAAATATATTAACACAAATCAATCATATTTTCTAATTACATACACCGTAAAATCCTACACCTAGCAATTCTTCACTTTCAACATTACTTACTTATTGATAACAGAAATAACAAATTTGTTGCATTATTCATTTCCATATTTATTACAAAAAAAAATGCTAACTCCAAAAACTTTCAAACTGTAAGATCAATATCATCAGATTTGTGGGATAAATATTTGTTTAGAGAAGTATATGTAAAGTTTATTTGACCCCCATTTGTAACTATTTACTTTTACTTCATACCAAAACAAAATTATGCTTGATAACAATAGAATTCGAAGCATCAACTCAAACACAGCTAAGTAAATGACCTAAAGCGACGTAAAATAATTTTTTGTTTTCAAAAAAGTTCTTACTTTAACTTTTGCAATATAAGCTTTTGTACCTACAGAATCAAATATTTTTTTCTCCAAATATTTTCATAAACTTTCATATAACAGAACGACGCACAACTCAATAATAATTTCTTGTATATAACGAAAAAAATAACTTCCAAAAATGTACCTGCATAACAAAAGCAAAAGAACTACAACTTAAACTGCAATTATATGAATGTTAATGTTATCAATAAATCGATAAATGAAATGATTTTTTTGATGGCTTAGAAAAATAATAAAAATATAAGCTAAACCATCGTTCTCTTTAATTTTTCACTTTATTTGCATATATAATTATTTATTTAATAGCTTATAGCAGCTTAAAAAAGCACTGTATAAACACTGCTTGATTCCAAACTATCGCCGTAAAAAGCAACATTACAAGAAGACAGAAAAAAGGCAATGCATTCACAGCTGTTATAAGCTTTCTACATCATTTGGAATCAGCCAAATAAAAGATCATGAAAAACGCCATTTACAAAAGTCTCCTAAAATTTACAATCGTTCTACCCTACGACTTTTAGCATACAATTATTTGTCGTGATGGCTTTGTTATGCCAGTAAGTTCACTGAAAATATTATTTAAATAAGCAATTTTTCAATAATATTCATACTTAATTATGAAAATGACATGACTGTCGGAACTTTTATATAACAGAACATTTCATGAAAACCGATGATCTGATTTTGATAGCTACCTCCGTTTACTGTGAAGCATAAGGAATCCTTTTAAAAAAAGATTAAATCTGAAATAAGATCCGCTGGAATGCCACAAGTTATTCCTTGCAAACGCAAGCTTCTCTTGATTACTCTTTCCTTAAATAAACTGAAAACTTTCAAACTGAGACATACTAAAGGTTATTTTAGATTTAAGCACTATCAAGGAATCATGCTTATGATCTGCTTTTTTCCATCAATTCAACCAGTTTTATGTAAGTTCAGTAAACTCCAAGTAAGATTATGCAATTAATCAGAACCCAATGATCATTACTCTTAAACAGTAAAGACTGAATGAATCGTCCTAATTTATGCTCTTTTTATCAATTTTCTAATAAGATAGAAGAAATACTAAAATGATTCCACAGGATTAATAAAAGTCACCCGTAATTTGAGAATGAAAAGTTATACTAAATTTCATTCCAGATGAATGCTATGATGCTCTGAAGATTCGGAGTGGACCAGAAAGATGTGTCCAATCTTCACAATGCTACGACTCTGATGCTGAATGCGTATATAGTATCAGGCAACTACATCATATTTGCTGCAGACCAAATCCTAGTGCAATTTTTCCTAGTAAGTCGAATACATGGTAAAAAGTTCAATAATTTATTAAGCTAAGCTAATAATTTATTAGCTTAGCTTAATAAATTATTGAACAAATTCCCAGACGAATAAAATACTGCAGTGTTAAATTTGGAGATACCTAAATGATTTGGTGTGAGGAAAAATTAAGTAACTTAATACCCTTGTTAGTTACAAAATTTTATGAACATTCATTCATCCAAGCATGGTTTTAAGAATGTCCCTCTGGACGACAAATGCTTATTATTGGAAAATCTACACCATTGGTATGCACACCATCAAACTCAATAGAAGATGATATATGTCCGCTAGGATATGAATGTTTACCATCAGTAACGAATTTCACCAAAGGACAAGAACAATCAAACAACGTTTGCTGCAAAGCAATGAAAACGCTAGTGTGATCACAATATATGTTTGTCAATTGGAGCCTTCACTGACCTTTTCCGTATAATAACAATAAGCTTTACTGTTAAATTGTTCAACTTACGGACATTGCGAAACTAATACTTGGAAGTAAAATCTTCTGATACTAGTACATGAAGCTAAAATTGAAGAAACCAATTTTATTAACCTAGAACTAACTATGCATTTTACATTTTTTTAAAACACCATGTGAAGAGAAAATTTGGAAAGCAAATGTGAAACAAGTTACATGGAGAAAAATCATGTAATTTAAAAAGTAAAGGAAGTTTTGAATTTTTATTCCATAATCTTAAGTTTGAATTTTGGATAGGGACTATTATTTGCCTTGCACCTAGTTTCTTCATATATTACTACATAAAAGACATTCTCATTAACAAAATACCTATATAAATTATAACCAATAAACCAGTAAAGTCAATCCACAATTATAATCCCCTTTGCAAATGATTTATTTCTAATAATAGAATGAGTCATATAGTTATCAAAGAAACAAGAGTAGCCATTAACTTTAAAGGAAATAAAAAGTAATTAATTATCAAACAAATCTGATTCTACTGGACTTGATAACATGAAAACTATGACTCAACTTTATTTTATTTTGTATCTGCAACGCTTTTAATAACAGCACTAGAATAATATTAAACCACTAAATGTCTGGTTTTTATTTTATTATTCTTATTTACTTATTTTTTTGCTATTTTACAAGATAATTTCAGTAAAGAAAAAAACTTACTCAGCAACAAGCACTGGAAACCAAAACAACAAACGTCCACCGACAACAAGTAATTTGCAGGCTAGATCAATCAGATCAAGGAATGTTGATAAAATAGAATATTTGGCTTTTTCCGGAAAATGAATCAGACTGAAAAGTAGTGCATTAAAAAAATCTGGATAGTGTAAAGGTAATAAGTAGTGATAACTAATAAATCCTGAGTTTAATAATAAACATTAATCTTACTGATCAGTATTTTTGATAATCCAAGATTCATTTTTTTCTTTGACACCGACCTTTTGCCCTTTTTCTCTCACTCCATACGGCGCTACAAAAATAATGAGTTCTGATGACTAGTACCAAGTAGAGATGAATAAATTGAGCATTTTCTCCCAATGATTCTCATTACCATTACTTTTGAAGAATATAAGAATTTAAGTGAGCTACACTAGCCTATATATACGCAATGATAAGTTTATAACTGCTTGCATTTTAATGCATATTTAAAAGCATTTTCAATTATTAAAAATATTATTGCTTACGATCAGTAATTATAGCATCAAATACAGGAACTGTATTGAAATGAATGCCAGGATACCACAAATTGTGTTGACTAGCATCTGCAATCACTAAACCCATGAAGTACACATCGGTTCCATACTGTTGAAAATTAGCAGCAACTGATTTTTCAGCTGTGTGATATTTGACTCCAGCACGTGAAGATTTACCTACGTAATTAACTGAATAATAAACAGTAACGTCAAAACATATTTATATTGTAGTTTAAAATTTCATCCTCAAAAATAATTTCAATAGCTTCAACATCGTATGATATATAAGTAAAAGATTTCAGAACGCTATACTAAACAAATCACTGTAGCTTACCGACTCCTCTCGCAACTTGATAGTTTATTTCAGTACCCATAACAGCAGCACCAAAATGGGCTGCAGCAACCATCAAACCACCTATATTTATTTTAAAAATGCACTAGATAAATGGAAAATAAAAGTAACCAAAAAGTTCTTTTCAATTATTAGAACTTTTATTCATTAAAAATTTTTCGATCGGAAATGCAAACATATTGCCATTTATAGTAGAGAGTAGATCGAAAAAATTATCTTCACGAAACAAGCAGTCAAAAACATGAAACAAACCTGTTCCACAGAATGGGTCAAGTACAATCGAGCCAACGTTCACTTTTGCTATATTAGCTTGAAGAAACGATAATTCTGGATCCAAAGTTGTATTACCAATGTAACATCGATCTTTCAGGGAGTAAACATTTTTCAGCTTTCCTTGACCACGTCCTATCTATTTGCATTCATTTCAAAACAATTCATTAGTTTGCATTACTTGTCTATATATATAAAGAAAATGTGGATGTTAGTCTTTCTTTTCGCTTTATTGATTCTGGCGTTGAACGCATGATTCCGGCACTCTGACTGCATTTGTCATGCGCTCAGATTTGTTGCGTTTAACGTTTTTGCTTCGTTCTCGTGAAATCCATAACGAGTATCAAAGGAGATGCTTTCGAGTGCCTCGAAGTGATCAGATATACTGATCTCCTTTGCGTACCGTATATCGGAACTTTGTTATATACGTGATGCATGATATTTTACCACTGTTTACATTTCAGACTTTTGTTCTGTGAGTTCCTTGAACATTGATATGATAAATTCTTGAGAAAAGTTTACCAACATGAAATAAAAATGACATACCAGTCTACCGCAATGAAGCCTCTGAAACCATATAGAAACATTTTCTTCGATAACGTAAAACATATTACATGGATTACTCAAATTTACGGGAGATCTCTGGAAACCAAGTGCTTCTCCAATCTTCTACAAAGTAGAAATTTCAGAAGTAAGAAAAAAGCATTGAAATGATTTTCACAAATTACAGACTAAGACTTTATTTACCAAAATTACATCATGAGAAGAAATTCTCATTCTTTTCTTTCCAATAGTTTGCATCTTTATCGCGAAAGATTGCTCTGTTGAATCATACTTCTGAAATTACTTGACAGTAAAAAATTTTTTTTAACCTAAAAAAATATCTAAAAAATATTGTACAAGTAAAAATTACAGAAACTTGCTTCCTGGAGAAAATTAAATATCTTGGAACATAAAGATGCATACAGCATACAATAAATGGAACATAATCTTGTCACTTGCTCATTTCATATTCTAAAAGATGTTTATAAACAAAGTTTGAAAGAATTCAAATCAATGAACACGTATTTTTGTTCAGAAATGTAGAAACAAACATATTTAAGACAAAAAAGATTAACCAGTATTCTGTCTCGACGTTTAGCTACAGCTTCGTATAAATCTTGGTAAGTACCAGCACTTGCTATCCACTCGAGGGCATATTTGACAAGAACTGATCGTGACAATATTCTCAACACATCATTTACTGAAGGAAATTCGAACAGGCAAACATGATGCTGAAACATAATACTAATAAAAATGGCTACTTAAAACAGACTGTGAAATATCTGAAATTTAAAATTAAATTACTAGTAATAAGTATGATTTTTGTATCTTCATCACTCAAAAAATCGTTGATTTTTGTGATTAGTAAATACACAAACTAATTCTTGATATCTTAATGTAATGAAAATTATTTCCAGTCCAAATTGTAAATTAATTAAAGATGTAATCTACAATTACAAGTTATGAGCAGATATGAGTAAATAATTGACCTTTACTGACTAATAAATAGCTCATATTTAATGATATGAAAAATAACTTCATCACTCAAAAAATCTTTATTTCGATCCCATGCAATTCCATACAAATCACATATACTTTCTAGCTCTGCGCGTCGAAATTGTGGGTGCACTTGTGAAAACACAAATAAGTACTGATCCATCGATCCTAAATACGAAATTAAAGAATGTTTAAATGATTACTCAACGCAAACGTAATGAAGTAAAAAATACTCCATACTTTTCAAACTTAATTAGCTAAGCTACTGATTAATCTTTTTTATGAACGGAAAACTAAAATATTACGCAGCTATAGTATGAAAATTAATGTTTCTTGAGTAAGTATATAGCAATTAATTTACTTTGTTTCAGTTGAAAAGTTGATCTTAATTAAGTTTGCTGTGAAATAATCAACAAGAACTGATTGCCATTGTCGAGAACTTACCAAGTAATCGCAAATCATTTGATAAAAATATGTAATTAAAATTTGACTTAATTTTTCTATAATATAAAACTTTCTTAGATGGTAATTTTTGTAAACTTCACTGGAGATCAGAATTCCCGCACTGTATATCTGAGCTTAAAGGGTACTGAGCGAGAAATCGCAACTAGATAATTGCTACAAAATCAGTATAGAAAAACTCGATCTCTTAGTCAACTTTTTGCATCTTTCTCGTATTTAAATACAATTATTTATATGATTATTTATCATTTTGGTATAGAATTGATAAGTTTACAACCATTCGCTATTTCCAGGCATAATTTGTAATTTCTTACGTGCAAAAACACGCTTGTGAAGTGAAAACAAGTGGGACGATTTTGAGCTACTTTTCGAGTTATTATTACATTTAATGAAAGTTGCGGCTGCAGTTTTAAACTTTGTTCGTAATGAATTTAAGAAGCATTCAAAAAACTGATGCAATCCACAAGAGTAATTATGAATTTAACAGAGTTACATTTATTCTTGTTGTAAAAATTTAAAACTTATTTTGTAATAACAAATTTTGTTTTATTAATAATTACTAACTGATTAAAACTAATAATTGAGTTATTTAAAAAAGTCTCAAAAGGTTAGCATTGCATAAGTTATTACTTACTTACAAATCAATAATAATTATTACAATAGAAAATATAACACAATATAATACTAATAAATTTATTTATTGCAATTTGTAAAGAAAGGAAATATTTTATTTTTTGTTTTAAACTTTACAGCAAAGCATTAAAATAGTGACATCTATATTTGGAAAACATTTAAATTACAATATATTTTTCGTTTTAAATGCATCAAACGACAACTTTGAATTCAATCAAAAACATTTTATTTATTAAAACAAATACTGAAAAAATATTTATACTTATAAGTGTGTATTTGTGTAATGTAAACTTATTATAAGAAAGTTTACGAAGTTTCATTAATAATTTTGTATTTTCATTACATCACTTTAAGCAATCTTTTACTTCTGCCGACTTAAGTAACCTGTTATTTTAATACAAAAAAGTAGCTAAGATTTTTTTTAGATGAAATAAAATAAAGCTGCTTCTGCTTAAATATTTATTACTTAAAAGTATTTTTACGCAAATTAGTAACACTGCATATGTGCTAAATTTGCTTACTCGCATTTATCTATTAAGTTTGATAACCTTTAATGGCATGTTAGTAGTTCAACATTATCTGTGTTGGAGGTTGAGGTATTAATAATTAACTATATCTTAATTATTGATAATAATGACTAATTATATCTTAATTATTGATAATTAATTATATCTTAATTATTGTCAGAGTACTATTCTCTTCGAATTATATAAATATGAAAAAAAGATCCAAAAGAGTGCTTGTTATTTAATATTAAACATAAACTTGGTACTGATCAATTTTATTTGCAACTTGTGATGTGCAAATTAAGATTAATTAGTATTAAAGTTAAAATTTTTCTGTCTTAATAAACAGAAATTAGCAAATTCTTATTTTTCTGATGAATTTGCGCATGTGTTTAGTCACTTTAAATTAAATTTTTGTAATTTCAACAAAATTATGACATCATTATTATTATTTAATATATTTTAATTTGATCAAAAATTAGGTTTACACCTCAAAAATGTTGTGAGATAATCAATTTGTTGTAATAAATACAAATAAATCCGTTCTTCAACATTTTATTATCCAGTAATGATTTTTAATAAACATTATTAATAAACATTAAATATTATATATATATATATATATATATATATAT